CCTGCTGTACACAGCTGTTCAGCTTCCCAGGAGGGGCTGTGAACACCTCAACCTCCTCCTTCAGCTGCATCCTCACCTGTAACTTTCTGTCCTTGCAGATACGATGGCAACTCACTTCTGAGCAGCATTGAGTGCTACGATCCCATCATTGACAACTGGGAAGTGGTAACCTCCCTGGGGATGCAGCGCTGTGATGCTGGAGTCTGCGTCCTTCGGGAGAAATGATCTGGAGGGAACTTACAAAGAAGAACATCCTAAAAAGTCTCAGCTGGAGGAAGAGTCCCAAGTGATTTGCAGTGACTGCTCTTGAGCGTTGTGGATGCCGGGGAAATAGGCACCGGTACAGCAGCTTTCTGTGCTGCTTTTGACTGGAGCACATGCGTGAATGTGTTATCTCAGCAGTCATTTGAAATCGGGGACTCTGTGCAAAGCTGGAGAAAGGTGGTGAAGTGAGTCAGGAGAAGCTGCATTCTCTGCTGTTCCTGTGGCTAAGCCTATTGGCAGAGCAGGGATTCCCCCAGTCTTGGCATCAGCCAGCCTGGCGAACACTTCTGAGGACATGTACATACAGTCTGTTCAGCCACTGCAGGACCACACGGGTCTCCTGGTTGCTCTCAGCAGCCTGGATGTGTGAGGGTGAATCCAGCTGCTCTTATGTTCCAGTTTCAAATCATCTTGTACATACTGAATGTTTAAACATGCTCTTCAAGCACACGCCGGTGCAGAGCCACATTGAGTGAGCGTGTGTAAGGGGGTCCTGCACTGTAGCTGCATCTGCAGGTTCCTCACAGGTCTGCACACAAAAGGAGTCGCAGATTAAAGCTGTCAACTACTGAGACCCAACAGCCCGAGGCTGCAGGGGGCAGAGGGCAGGGGGAAAAGCTCATTGCCTCTGGTGTACAAGCAGGTCTGCAGAGTTTGTGCTCTGAAAAGGGGGGCTCAGCAAGGTTCATCACACCGTATTTCCCTCAAAGGTTGACAGACCCAGCTGCAAAGCGGTGCGTTATGCGGCGTCAGGAGCCTTGCTGTGATGTGGCAGTGCCTTTGCTTCCGCCCCTGGGGGGAGGTCACCATGCAGAGGCTGAGGCCCTGAAAGTAGGGGTGCAATTGCTCCTATCCCTGTAGATCTTGCTGGTGAGCTACTGGGGTTCATCCCTGGACAGATCTCTGTCCAGCACACCCACGTCAGCCTTTCAAGTTCATTGTGTTGATTTTCCTTTGGAGTTTTCTGCTTCCGGGCCCGTTTTGGAGTGACATCCAGGATTCTGTTTTGCCGTTTTTTCTCAGCTGTTTATTCCCCTGCCTTGTAACTCCACATCCTCTTTCACTAGCTACCCTTCGCCTGCTCCACAAACCCCAAGTGAGAGCTTCACCACTGGCTCACTAGAGCACTCTCTCCTCAGCATGCCTCCTGCCTTGCTGCGTTTCTGGAGCATGGGCTCTCCTCCCCGTCAGCTTGGCCCCTGCAGTGCCTGGGCTCGGTGTAGTGCTGCTCGTTGAGCTTACTGCTGACTCCTTGCTTGAGGGACAGGGTGGGATCAGGGATGTGGTAGCATGACTTAATTATGCACTTTCAGCCAATGCTCTGACCTTCTGCGTTTGTTTCTATCACAAAAGTGTTCTGTGGTTTCATTTCCTATGTTTATTTTTTAATGAAAATACAAAGAATAAAATATTTCCTGAGCCAGTGGGATTTTAGCACCTGTTCTCTACCCTCGAGACATTTGTCGCACCGCTCTGTGAAGGGTATGTACAAACCCCGTGTTGGACCAGGCAGCCACCTTCAGCGGTTTCAGTGCCGCAGTAAAAAAACAAGTGCAAAAAAAATCCATCTGCTCGGATCCAGCGATGGCACAAAAACCTACCGGGCCTGGAGGACTTGCTAACTGGGGGCGAATTGCTGCCAGACCTGCTTGAGAAGCATGTGGCAGCAGAGATGAGGAAAAGACTGTTACAGTGGTGTTGTAATGGAGCCCACAGTTGCAAAAAACAACAGGTCTTTTGTCCACCATGGAAATGTGGGATGAATGGAGCACAGTATTAATTCATCTGTCAATGGTGTGGCTATAAAATACCCTCCTGATTTCCCTCTCCAAAACCTGTGGATTTCAAGGCCAACAGCAGTGTCTTGTCCTGCAGTCTCTGATGATGCTGAATGTTCTCTCTGGTCCTTGAGCAGACACCTCACCCATTACTCTAGATTTCAGCTTCTCCTGACACATGTCCCTTAGGATGAACTTCTCTGTCACTCCTTAGCCAGCGAGAAGCACGTAAGGAACCAAAAAGGTAAATGGCCCTGCTTAGAAGAGTGCAGTATTCATGAGGATGCACACACAGATATCCTGTGTGGGTCTGTCTTGCCCTGTGCTACTCGGACACCTGTGGGGAGATGGGCTGGTGGAGGGAGAGTTCCAGGCTGCTGAACTGGAGCTGTCGGTAGCTCCTTCCCTTCCACGACCTTCCCTGCTCTCCTGCAAAGGCCTCAGGGGAAATTCAGCTCCAGAAACCAGTGCTGAAAAAAAAAAAAGGTGTCTGGTGTGTGGTTCTGCTGATGCTCAGCACCAGCACTGCAACTGGGACACAGCAGAACGTGACCCTGTTCACAATGGCCAGCACACCCCGTCACTGCCTTTCCAGGGCAGGATGTACAGAAGGGTTTGAGTAGGAATTGGCATTTCCAGAAATATAATGAAAAATATAAACCTTCAAAATGCATCTGTGCATAGTTGGAGATGAGGAAACTTACAGGCTATGGCTGAAGGTAAAACACAGGGTCAAAATGTTCTGCTTGAAAAGAAGCTGGTATCGATTCTTACACACCAGTAAGAATGAAGCTGCCTGCATCATCAGCAATCTAGGAGAAAACACTAAAAGGCAGAATTAAGCATGAATTTTTAACACCAGACAGCTCCCACACAAGAATGCTAAAAATTGGCCAAAGATCCCATTGGTAGGGTTTTATTTATTTCTTGAGAAGTTCCAGAGGATTCTTATCAGACACGGACCGCACCTGCAACCAGCCCTGGCCCAGCCCCGCAGCTTGGCACAGCCTGGCTCCTCAGCAATCACGGACCACCGGCTGGGAGGTGGCAGTGTAGTGTTGTGCCACAAAACAGGGTTTTATGGGCAGTGGATCTTACCAAGAGAGCCTCATCTCAAGCTCATTTGAGAAGAAGGTGGTACCGAGGGAAGTGCTGCTGGAACACTTGAAGCTTTTGACTTGCAACCTGCAGGGACTTCACCCAGGCCAGGCAGAGGGTTTACTTCCCTCTCCCCCACCATCCAACCAAGATCTCGGTCCTTACTGATTGCGTTACCCAGGTTAGTATGTGCACACTTAATACAATCAAGCTGAAGCCCTACAAACATGTTACTTTATGGCGTGCTACAATCAGATCAGGGAGGCAAGGTGGAACCTCCTGCAGGAAGCAAACGGGCAGGCAGGAGCAGTGCTTCCCTCGGCTGCTCCCGAGAAGTGACCTATTGGGACCAGACGGGCTGCTCACGGGAGGCCTAGCTCCCAGGACACAGCACACTCCCTAAGCAGGGACAGAGGCAGGGCTCCTGGACAGTCTTTGTAGAAGTGACGTTTACACTTAAAGAAATCACAATCAAAAAATAGTTGTGCTGGAGAAAGGCAATCTGTAATCCTGCCCAGAGGAGATCCAGGTTTCTCAGGTTCCACCGAGTCCAGAGTACCCCCGCACGGGGATCCTGCAGTCAGGGTGGCTCTGGCTGCAGAGCAGATCTGGGCATGTCACCAGCCGCTCACAGGCACTGCCTGACTCTGCAGAAAGCTGCAGCGTGCTA